GGGAGTTGAAGTCCACTCATCTTAAAGTGGCCAAGTTTGGACAACACTGTTTTAGAGAGAAACGAAAGGTGGTTTTTTGTTTTTGTTTTTAAAAAAGCTCACAACTGGGAGATTCATTTTACAACATAATTAAATCCTCTCTGGGATTGTCTCATCTGGGAAGGATTTCCTTTAGACATTTGCAATAGAAGGATAATTTCCTTTTTCTATTTTAAGTGTACAACCTATTTTTTAATTTTGACGAAATGAACCAAGCTTCTCCCAACTGGGGTTTGTTTTGTTGGCACCTCAGAACTGGCTATAGAGAAGAATTTTTGTTTAGCTGATCTTGTTTCATGGGGGAATGTAGAAATAGCAAGCCTTTGTTGTATGTGCAGAACAATGTTGAAGTAAACATGATTGTGGATCGTTTGGAGCAAATGAGAGAAGCTGTGAAGCATGCTTAGAAATAAGTTGTCTGAAACAATATATTTAACTATTTAGACTTCATTGCTTGCAGATGGTCACCTTTTACCCTTGCATTAGATGGAATTGTCTCAGTAATATACAGACTGAATGATTTATGATACATCAGTTTGACTAGTTTATGTCTCTGAGATTGTCTTTCAGTAATGTGGACTCCATGTAAGAGAGTCCACATTTTTAAAATTCTGTACATTTAAAATTTGTGACAGGTGGGTTTTGGTTTCTTGAGTCATTCCGTTGGTCATAATATGGTAAAGAAGGTGCTTATTCAGCGGACAGTATGATCTGGCTTTAATCCTGCTGATCCTTGAAAAGCACTAATGCAGACAGAGGTGGGGTCATGCAGGGTTAATGCAGTAGGCAAGATCCAGTAGTAAGTAAGGGGTAGCAGCAGAGGAGATTGCAGTACACATTCTTGATCTTGCAATGTTTGAATTGATTGATTCTGTGAAAAAACAGTAGTGGGCAGATTTTTTTAAAAAAATCTCAAACTCGAGGGCTTGGTTCATGTAGCTTATATTATTGGCAGTAGGCTGCAGGGGAACCAAAGGAAGCCTTAAAAATGCAATAGATAATTTATTCTATGGAATGATTTGCCACATGATATCAGTGTAATAATAATCAGTAAGTGCCTTTAAACCAATGATTAGATAACTTCGAGGGGCAGGTTTCTGTTATGGGCTGGAAATTGTAATTGCTTGGATGAATCCCTTATTCGTCCTCCCTTCCTGATAGGAAGGGTAGTAGCATTTAGTGGCACTTTTGATGCGCAGGGTACTCTTAGAATAGCGATATGACTATTTATGACTTGTAGCTCAGTGCTTTAGCTGCCCAGCTTCAGCAGTCCTCAGTGAAGGTTTGCCTTGAATAATGCTTAGTGCTATTGTTTACCCCTGAAAAATGTTGAATTGTACATGCGTGTTTCTTTGCAGGCTCCACCGGGTGCAATGTGCAATTAAGCAGACTCAGGTAACTGTTCAGAAAATAGGAAGGAAGATTGAAGAGAAACTGAGACTTACATCTACAAGCAACGAGCTGGTATGTTATTTTGGTTGTGGGGGGGTCTGTCTTGGACAAGTGTCATGAAATGTTACAGGATGAATATAAACTCGTGTAAATTAAGCACAGTGGGTATTTTGTTGTGGATAGCTGCTAAGGAGGTGAGGGGGTTGAAGTTTTAATGCAAGCCCTACCCTTCCTATGATTGAGTCTCAGCTTCTTTGCAAGTTGGGCAGAGGCATGAGGGTTGGCTCTGGAGCTATAGGCCACCAGAATAGTTTTTAAAATTTTGGTTAATATTTGAGGAGGCATAGTATGAGGTAATTTTAAGTTTCCTGATTTGAACACTGACAAATATAAAAACTTACAAACAAATTCAGAAAATGTTGGGTCATGTACGTTGTTGAAAATGAAGCCCCTGGTGTAGGTTTATGGCTCAGGGACCTTTCTCTTTTTTAACTGATGGAGAGAATTTTTGGGAGAATGAAATGTAATACAGAATTTATTCTATTTTTCTCAGCTTTTGTAATGACTAGCTTCAGATGTAAGAGGACTCTTTGGTATCTATATGTAGTAATTGAAGTTATAAGCATTTCTCCAGCATTTCTACATCATGCATGTAACATAAGCTCTTTTTTGTTATTAAATGGAAATATTTATCTGGAAAGTCCAACAGCTTAATATATTGGATTAAACCTAAATTGCTGTAGGGGGAAAATGAATTAATAGGTCTCCTAATGCTCTCCAGTTACAAAGCATCTGTGGTGAGTGAGAGAGTTGCCAGGGAAAACAAACTTGCAGATTGGGATTAATGAGTTACCAGTTGAAAGAGTGGTAAACATAACCGCCTCAGCTGAGTGTAATATGGGTGATGCTCCAAGGCTTTGAGGATGAGCAACAGGATGAGCAAATGACATTTTGGGCACTGGGGTGTATATTTTACTTGCCAGCTTAGGACTGGTATTACGGATTTGGAGGAAGGCCTCCTATTGGAACCAGCTAATATCAAAGGGCTCCACTTGGATTGAAACAGGGACCAGTCTAGCTAGTATTTGGAAATGTGTATTGGCAAGGCCTGGCTAGCACCCGGTTTACTGTCAGTTTATAAAGTCAAGGTTCACAAAGAAAATGAGATATAAGGACTGTGAAAATATGCTGGGGCCTTGACCAAGGAGTGAAGATTTTAATTGGATGTGGTTCTGCAGCTTTTGTAACTCCTGACAAGAAATGAAAACATGAAGTCCTTCATGAAGCAGGTTGCAAATGGTGAAGAATGTTGGAATTATTCCATTCTTCCTCTAGCCAGAGGATTACACCATTGTTTGCATGGCTCTTCCAGCACTGAACTAATCTTTCCAGGACATTGGTGTCTTGTACTGAGACAGCTTCCAAACCTTGTTGTGGGGTTGGCTTGTGGTCTAGAAACAGACTATAGCTGCTGTTCTTTCCTTTAAGACCATAACACATATGTACAAATAACCCAACAAAAGCTGCATTTTGTCACCACTTTCAGAACACTTTGTAACATGCAGAGTTGAGCCTCTTAGGCTAATTAGATTCTCATGGCTCCACCCTGATGACATTCTGGAAGCTGTTAAAGACCTGGCTATTCTCCCAGGCTTTGGGGCAGGGTGATGGTTGAGCCATTGCTGGATGGGGATTTTTTTGGGTGGTTTGTACGTTTGCTTTCAGGCCGCTTACGATTTCTTTTTTGGTTTCATTGTTTTGATTTCTTTTATAATTGTTAGCTACCCAGAGTCATTGGGAGTCAGGCGGGCTATAAATTCAATAAATAAGTCAATAAATAATTTGTGAACTGCTTAGAATGGAAATGTGCTGAGCATTTGTCTTTCTGTAAAGTAATTAAGAAGAGATAACAGTAATTTATTTCAGGGGAAAAAATGTGCTTTGCAAAACTCCGGTTTCTTTTTGCAGGCTCTGTTAAATGAAACTATAAGTACAGGTGTCATTGAGGATGATTTTGCATTAAAGATTGCTGGTGTTACGGTGTGAGTTTCCAGACTGCAGATGTATGTGGAGCAGTAACTTGAGTTTTGGATGTTGGGGTGGTGTGTCACGTGGAGATTCCTGTGAACCCTCTTCAGAGACTGCCATAATCGTATTTTCTACTTAAATGTATAGTCTGTCTTCACAGGTGGCATTTCTTCCAGAAGTGTCTATATATATGCTGAGCAGTCCTTTTTTTTTTAAATAGAAAAAAGAGAGTGAGTGTTTACAGTTGAAGATTCTGGTGCTTCAGAATGAGCTAGAGAGGCAGAAAAGAGCCCTAGGCCGAGAAGTGGCCTTACTGCACAAGGAACATAGTGCGCTACTTGAAAGAGGTAAGTGTGAATGGGACCAGTCTTCTTGTCCCCCTGCAGCCTAATGGCCAAGGAATGATGAGTTATTGGAGAGCAGCTTAGGTTGCTCCTGAAAAAATGAATTTGGCAGGTTGAGTTATTGACATAGCATCTGTTTTGTAGGCTCTGATTGGTCCTTACTGGCTCCTTTATGTTCTTGGTTGGTTGCTAAATTCTTTAATGGTGATGCTGTAGGTCACGCGAGAGCAGTTTAGTGGTTTCCTCCTCTGACAAGCCACCATGGCGGTTCAGGGTTCCGTGTGTTTTAATCCCAGATCTTCTCCTAAAATCTCCTGTTGCTTTATGAAGTCTGAAGAAAGAAGACACCCCAAATTTCTAGAATAAGATGCATTAATAAGTGAAGCACCAGCAAATAACAAAATCCTGTATGTTCATGACAAGATGCTTCTTAAAATTAACACTAAAAATGATATGCCTGCACCTGAGTTAAACAAAGAAGAGAATAAGACGGGACAAAATCTGGAAAATTATATAAAAAATAACTCTTACAAGTGTGACCAAAATGCTTCAAAGTCCATTCCTTTGCTAGGAAAAGCTACTTCAAGGTTGACAGATGACACAGCCATCCGTTGCTGTGTATCAGATGTAGTTATTCTTCCAATGCTTTTGGCCATTCTTTATGTGTGAAAAGTTCACAGTTTTTGATGTTTTGAAATATTCCAAATCCTAAGGATAAAGCCAAGAAGAACATATGCACCCTTGATATGGAGTGATCAGCCCAAAGTCATGTTAACAATCCTGTCAATTTCAGTCCGGAATGTGAACTGGGAATCCCAGAGCATGTGAGCAAATAATTCCTCTCCTTGAATTATATTTCCAAGAACAGAACAATTGCAACTAGTCCTTATTAAAAATTCTATAAAATGTCCAGTTTACTTGAAACAAAACAAAAACAAAAACTCCCCACAACTTATTTTGTGATCAGAAGAGACTAATTTAATATTCTTCAAATTAACCTTCCTGTAGTTTACAAGAACAGGATTTGAGTATGGTATTCCAAAGGTTAATAAATAATAAATATTGATTTCATCGTCTTACTTCAACTTCTTATAAAATGGCTTATTGCTTTACAAATCTCAGTTAATTTCTTCAAAACTCTAGCAGATGTAGAACTTCAGAAGCAGCAGTAGAATTTAGACTATATAGTCCAAATAACAGATGCTTAAATTGAACAAACTACCAAGAAACAGAGAGAACTCAATTTTAACTTTTATAAAATTTTTAAAAAGTACTTTATCAGTACTGAGTTGATCCAAAATAATAATTTTAGGAGAGGCTGGTTAACCCAGATGATTGGTTTACTCTGCAGTTTTTATACTGAGTTTATACCTGAGGTTCAAATCTTTGCTCAACAATGTAGCTATATAATTTCTAACTTCTCAAGTTGATTTTGAGTTACTGGCATCCTCAGAAGTTGTAGGATTAGAGATTTGGTGCCAGATAGTACTTTGTAATGATCTTGTATATTACCAGTGGCTTAACTAATAAAATAGAGTTGTTTGATTGCCAGTATTTACTACTGAAGTGTAATCCCAGATATTTTCTTCCTAAAATGATTTTGGTAGGGAATTTATTTGAAGAAGAACATTCGAAGCTCCTATTAGATAAAGAACCTCTGCAAGAATTAAGGAAGGAATGTACCGCTAAGAGGTAAAAGGACTCTCAAAGTTGGTTAGAGTGGGACAGGAAGATTTGTTTATATTTTCATTGTAAATGTACAGTTGGTGGATAATTCTCCTTTCATAAGGGCTAGGTAAGCCCTGCAGGGCCTACTGATAGAGTCCTGCAGAGGAAGTCTGGTCCAGGATCTTCAGAAATGTCTGTTTAGTACTAATAATTGTGAATTGGGGTACAGAGGCTAGATGTTACAAATTAAAATATTGGAATCCATAATTAATGTTGGATGAAGGAATTTGAACAGAAATAGTGGCTGATTTGTTTTCCTTCATTTTCATGTTGGGTTTTCTTATATACCTTAACCATACCTTACCAAGAAGTCCTCATAGAAGGAACAATTTCTGGAAACTAACACTTTTTGCTACCCTTGTTTGGACATTCTTCATTGGGCATCCCTTCTGGCCTTATAGATTCATGAGCGGAGTTTCTTCTGTGAACCAGATCCTTGGGTAAAACTTGCAGCCAGGCCATTACTTTTTCCCTAATAGTCGTTTCAGTGTATTACATGGAAGATGCAGGCTTCTTAAAGTTAGCCTTTTTAGTCAGCTACGCCAGACTTTAAATGTTAACAGTATTGCACTTCTCTAAGTGGGGTAGAAATAGTAATTTCTAGGAATAATGGTGTTGACAGCTCCTTCAGGAAGTCATCACTGGATAATTGACTAGTTTCTGTCTCCTTCCCTAGAGAGCAGTTCTTGAAGACCAATGCTCAGTTGACCATCAGACGTAGGCAATTACTTTCAGAGCTTTCCTGTATTTACCCTATTGATATGGTGAGTTACAGATTTTCTAAGAATGCCAGTTTCGGGAGTTTAGTAAGTGTACTGTTTTTATGTTGGAGGAGAATATGAACTTTACTTATCCTAAATATATGAACTATATATGAACAAAAACTACCTTTCAGGCCTAGCAGGCTAGTATTGGAACATAATATTTTACATCCATAGTATTTCAATTCTTGGGGTCCTAAATTCAAAGGGATAATGGGAGACGCCAGTACCTGAGATATTGAAGAACTGCTGCTAGTTAGAGATTAGTGGGCTAGGTAGACCAACATGCTAAACATGAATCACAACAATGCTGCATTTAATTCTACTTTCCATCATGGGAAGGGCATCTTACACTAAGCATCTTGGGCTTTGTTTCAGTTTCCCAGCTTGAAGAAAGCCATAACGCTAAACCTGCATTGGTTTCTCCTTTTGTATTTATTGAAATAATTGAGGTCAGGGGTAGGATTCAATTAGCACTTGACAGGCATGAACCCTTTAAAGTGGAAATAGAGCCCTCTCTGCAGAATGCTCTTGGGCAAGAGAAGAGAAGGTTAGCTTGCTGTCAGAATCGGCAGTTTATCAGCAAACATGGCCCTGATCAAACCTCACTTTCTGCTATTAAATCCACAGAATGATCAAGAGGATTATTTTATTTGTGGAGTGAAGTTGCCCAATTCTGAAAACTTTCAAGGTAATTGGGCATTTTCCTGCTCGTTTTGTTATCTAATTGCACTGTGCAACCTGCCAATGGACTAGGTCAGACCCCCAAATCAGTTGGGTTAAAAATGTGATGGATTTGTTGAGACAGGGTATATTTTATTTGAGGACTTAACTGCTTCATGAAGAGTGCTCACTGTTTGGAAAAGCAGCTTAAATAACAAATCACTTTGTTTCCATATAATAATTATTCTAAGTCTACCTGCCCTCCCTAGACAACAATATTTCTTGCTAGTTCAGTTGATTTTCTTGGTTTTGCTAGCTGTGGACTAAATGCAGTCTAAAGCTCCCCCAATCCCAAGAATTGTTATCAGAGTAATGTTGGATAAAACAGAAGGGTAAACTTATTAAATACTTGATTTAGAATAATCATACTTACTACATTTAATTAACTAAATGGAAATGAAATAAAAATAAATTAGTCCTGGATCCCTGTCCTACTTTTTTGGAATGTGCTGTCCAGAATTCCATTCTAAGCCAAAGGGCAACACTTGATGCAGAAAAGTTGCCAAAAGTGGAGGCAGAGGGATGAAGAGGCAAATAACAGCTCTTTTTGATTACCTAGATTTACTTTTTATTCTCCATTGGGAAGAGTATGCGCTTATATGGCTGAATTCTGAACAGCTCTCCAGTGTACAGGTCCAAATTGTCAGTTTGAATTTATTTATCCCTTTCACACAGAGTGTTGTTATTTGTTCTTTTTTCAACTGTGAGTTGAAACTTGGGAGAACCTAAGTTGTGGCTAAAATGGAGTGTTTACATTCTGTTTCTGACTTGACAAGTCTGGAACTGGAACAGCTTTCCCCAGCTTGATGCCCTCCAGATATGTGGACTTGAACTCCCAGAATTCCCCAACTAGCATGCCGGTTGCTGAGAATTCTGGAAGTTCAAATCCATGCAGCGGGAGAGCACCCTGGTCAGGGTAGGTTGCACTAGAGGATTGTGAATCCTGTGCTGATTGACATCCCAGATGCCTGTCCTTGGAGCTGATTCTGTCCTTGAGGCAGTATTCTTTAGGTATTTTTCCCTATTCATAGGCCATATGCCCAAACAGTGAGGAGTCCTGCAAAACAATTGTGTGATATTAGCTTTATCTAGCATGTTTCACGAATTTGACTTGAGCAAGGGGAGATGGCACGGTAGAGGGAAATGAAGCTGTTTAGATAGTTCTAAATAGCTGGTTATTTTTTTTAAGGCTGCTATTTGATAATGCCTATGAAGCCATTAATATTTTTACAAACTCATCAAATAAAATTAAGCCAGTTGTCCCACAGTATGGCTTAAATTTCAGGGGGGAAATGAAATAGATTGCACTGAGAGAGTTGCTTTCATCTTTTGTGGGGGGTGGGGGGAGTTAAAGGAAGGAGGCTATGGAAAACTTAGATTTGAACTACAGAGGATAAAGTTAATCCATAAAATCAAAGGACTTTGAAGTAATGAAATAGATTTTTCCTACCCTCCCCTCTTTCACTAAATCTTCTTTTAATTGAGTACTTCTTTTCTTAATGTGGGTATGTTGCCTCTTGTTGCCAAAAGCTTGGCTCAAATTTATATAAGTAAAATTTGTGATGCATTCTGTGTTCCTATATTTTAAGGTCTGCTTCAGAAAATATATTTTTTTCTATACAGAAAACTCAGATTTATGAAAGACTAGACAATCTGTGACCCACTGGGTCATCATTTCAGAGATATTCCCTTACCTAAACAGAGAAACAGAATGACCAAGGGCAAAAAAGCAGTGGGAGGAGTGGGAGCGACTTGCTACCGGCTTCCCTGTTGACTTTGCTTGTGGGATGCTGGCAGGGAGCATCAGAGATCTTCCTTCTTTCCTTCTTTCCTTCTTTCCTTCTTTCCTTCCTCCCTCCCTCCCTCCCTTTGCTAACTTCCTTCTGTCTTCCATAAATCTGAGTTTTCTGTATAGAAAAAAAAAAGGGTGGAAGAAACAAGAGAATGAAAGACATGATCTGGAGGAGCTGAAGGAGATTGTGGGATAGTGAGGGCTGTGGACTGGTGGGGAATGCTGTTTTGGTTGGAAGGATAACCTCCCTTGACAAGAGGTATTTTGGGAAAGGTGTCACACAAAAGGGCTAACTGAATGAAATTAAGAGCAACGCAGGGCATGAAAATTGCCATTTGCAATACTTTTTCAGCTTTCTGTCATTGAAATGCTCTGTTTTAATAATATTTCTACCTCAATTAAGAGAGCCAATGTGGTGTAATGGTTAAGGCATTGGGTTAGAAGCTGGGAGACTGTGAGTTGTAGTCCTGCCTTAGGCACGAAGCCGGCTGGGTGCCCTCAGGCCAGTCCCTCTCCGTCAGCCCAGGAAGAAGCAGGCAGTGGCAAACCACTTCTGAAATCTTGCCACGAGAACTGCAGGGACTTGTCCAGGCAGTCGCCAGGAGTCAACACTGACTCGAAGGCTACAGATATAATATAACTACCTCAGTTAAAAATGAATCCAAAAATCTGGAGACCACAAGTATGAGCCACCCTTAAGGCTTAGATTGGTTAGCTTGACTAAATAGTGTGCCCTTGTTTGCCTTTACAGCAAAGGATGATGGGAGCATTGCTGTTGCTCTGGGCTATACTGCTCACTTGGTCTCCATGATTTCCTACTTCTTGCAAGTACCACTCAGGTATCCAATACTTCACAAGGGCTCCAGGTCTGCAATCAAAGATAACATTAATGACAAACTGACTGAGAAAGAAAGAGAGTAAGTATTTTTAATTCTTTTGCAGGGCAAGGAGGGGACAGTACATACTTAGTCAAAGCATAACAGGGTTTTTTGCTTATAACCCTGTTTTGGAATTATTTTTAACAGTGAAAAATGCAAGCAATACATTTTATGACACAAATCTCCTGAAGTTGCAATTAGAGTCTTGCTTTGCTTTTAGCTCCTGGCTTGTATTATGAGTAAACAGTACTACTGTCTAGATCTGATTCTGTGGGTTTCTTCACAATATATTTCCTTCAGATGTATTCTGAATCATGCAAACTGGGAACAATGGAAATTATAATTCAATTTCAAGAAGGCTCTGAAGAGGAGCCTGATCTAGGACATTTGAGTTAAGAGTCTTGGTACAAGGAGTTTTGGACCTGATAGGCGTCAAACTGTTAAAGTTTGAGTAATGAGTTTATGGTTTGGGTCGAGAGATCTGATTCTAATGCCATGATTCTTGTGAGGTAGGATAGCCCCACGCTCACTTTCTTGAATTCCTTGAAAAAGTAAGGATATAAATATAGCAAACTTAGCAGTTTTTCCAGGCAAACACAAACCCATGCCACATTGTGCTATTACTGCATCATAAACCATGAGGAATTTCTAAGGAAAATGGTCTCAGAACAATTTGTAGAGCCCAAACAAATTGAAAAAAGATACATTTTATAGGAAGTATTTTATTTTATTTATGTTTTGTTTGTTCAGTTTATATACATGACTCTGGGCGGCTTACAGAGTTAAAAACACAAACAATACAAAAAATTGCCAAAATTGTAACAATGAAAGTCCATTAAAACATTTTAAACATTAAAAACTATTGAAAAGCCATTAAAAAAAAACATAATCTGTGGGAGAGTGCAATCAGTCTCGCTAACAGTATGGCCATTTTGCAGGCTCTATACCACACTACCAGTTCCCCAGGCAAAATGGCAAAACCATGTTTTCAGGGCTTTCCAAAAGGCCAACGAGGTCTGGCCAGTCTGACCTCAGTGCGAATGATGTTCTAAAGGGCAGGCATGTGGCAGAAAAGACTTTCCTCCTGGGTCCCTTCTGATGATGTTTCTTAATGGACTGGACCCACAACATGCCCCTTCTGCTGGACAGAATGGTAGATGTGATTGGGGAGGGGCGGTTCCTTAAATAACTTGGCCTCATGCCATGTAGGGATTTATAGGTCATTACCAGCACCTTGAATTGAGCCCAGAGGCAAACTGGCAATCAGTACAGCTCATGGAGCAGAGGTGTAACATGTGCTGCTTGAGGAGTGCACAAAACTGCCTGGACCGCCACATTCTGCACCAGTTGGAGCTTCTAGATGCTCTTCAAGGGCAACCCCATGTAGAGCGCATTATAGTACAGGTAATCCCCAGATTAAGAACATCCAGTTTACGACAACCCATAGTTAAGACTGAGCCTATTGTAGCAGAATTCGAGTTAAATACACAATGATTTGAGTTAAATACACAATGGTTTGAGTTCATTACACAATACTATTTATACAGTATCGTACAATAACACTCTTCCAGCTTACATACAAATTCAACTTAAGGACAGGCCTTGGGAACGGAACTCGTTCTTAAACTGGGGACTACCTGTAATCCATATGGGAGGTGACCAGGACATGAGTGACTAAAGCCTCCCGATCCAGGAATGGGTACAACTGGCGCACAACCTAAAATTGCACACATTAATGATGACTGGAAGCAGATATATTAACCTGACCATGTTCTTTTCATCTCCATTGATTTCATGCATAATGAAAGCTGAGTAGGTCAAAGTTCTATAGCATGAAGTTTCTTCATTGGTATAAATTGCTTCATGTTAAGTTCATTGAAGAAAATGTAGTGGAAATCCAAGTCTTCCCATAATTAAGAGTCTGTGTTTGGCAATAGTAGCAATATTCTCACAGTGGTTCTGAATTTTCTTGGGAAGAGAATTATATGCAGCAACAGAATATGCTCACGTATTATATATCAGACCAAAACTAACATGTCTGTGGCCTGCTTAACCCCAGTATGTAAAACTTTTCAATACTCTAAACAGTGACTCGCAATATCAGCACCACTAATCAGGAATTATAGTGATTTTCAAGTGAGTCCAGATTTGGTATTTAGGTCATTTTAACCTTAGTGACCTTCCAAATACGATATATTTCAGCTAAATCTAGTCTCTTGTAGACTTGAAATAAGCCCATGCTTTCTCAATCTTCATGGATAATTAGGTCAATTGACTGAGGCTCAAGAGTTTGCCACTCTGTAATTGATTCAATTTGAGTGTAGACTATGTAAGTATTTAGCTTTCCTTTAGAGCTAAAGGCCGAATTTTTGTTGCAGGAGTCTTAATTAGTGTTGTTCTAAGAAATCCCATAACATATTTTTAAAAGCCATTTTAATTTATAGAGGAGGGTCTGGTTCCTTTCATTTGATAGGTTGCTTTGTTGGTGGTAGTTATTCTCCAAGAAGCCTGTTGTGGACCACCTCCTTTTGCATCACGCTGGTCCCTTGAGGTCAGTGCCTGCAGCTCAGTTGCATCCCCCCATTGAAGGCAGTTGCAACTGAACCACGTTGGCCGATGGACAGGAAGTGAGGCTCAAGGGCTCTGGGAAATTTCCAACAGTGTTGAAGCCGTAGAAAATACAAGTCCTTTGGGAGTGGGGTGCAGAAGTATAAATAATAGTAAAACACGCTTTCTTCTTCTTTTTTTTTTTAATGAAAGGGGGGAATTAAAACCCCTTTATGTTTCTGCAGGTGGCACATTTATGCCAAGACCTCCTTGGTGAAATGAAGTTTACTGTCTGTCTCAGGATGGTAGAGCAGCTGTGTCTAATTTGCTCAATCTATAAGCTGCTTTGTACAAGTGTCCCAAAATGTTTTAGCAGGAACGTTCACCAGATGCACTGCTGTTTACCGTTTGCTGTTTATTCTCTGACGTGGTCATGTGTAACCCTTCAAGGAGTTTTGCAAATTCAGCATATCAGACAAGGATTCAACATGAATGCTTGTCTTTGGCTCTTCTTTGCTTAAGTGTTGGAAGATAATATAAAAAAGAAGGGAATGTTAGAGGTAGTCATATATGGGTTGCTATAATTAATTTTGCCACCAATGAGCAAATTATTTGCTTTCCGCAGCACAATAGAAGACAAGAAGTTATGGAACTCAGGGCTTGGGGGAGTCAGTTTGTCATGGGCTTGCACTTTTTAATTTTTTTTCCCAGTCCCTAGAAGTTTGGAAAGAAATTACGTAAGGGGCTCAAGGATGCTGTCTGTCCACTTTTCTATCAGCACAATGACTCTGAAAATAGAATGGAACTAAATTTGGTGTGAGGGAAGAGGCTGGCAAAAGAAAGATCAAGATCAAAAAATGAGCTAGGAGAAGAAGAAAATCCCAATTTTTTCCTCCAGTAGATCTCTGTGGGAAAAGCAGTGAGGCAATGGCTTGAAATGTTGCTGACTGCTCCATTCTAATCTCCTTTCCTCTTCCTTCCTTGTTTAATGTGCAGCAGGCAAAATTGCACAGCCATTACACTTAATCAAATTATTCAGGTAGAAGAAATGCTCTCAAAAAGATTGTTCTCACATTTTTACCTTTCTGTGAATTGAAGTTTAAACCATTCTGTGAGCTGAGAGAGCATCAGCTGGTAAAATACTTCTACTCAAGACGTCTTCATCCAACAGCCTCTTTTTCTTTGCATGCTTGTGGATTTGCATCTCCTTCTTTGGGCTTCCCAAGTTCAGTTTGAAATGCAAGCAAAATGTCTGATTAGAAGAAAATCAGGCTCTAAATCACATGTTTTTTAATGTGAGATTAGAAACTGGTGGGGGCAGTTAAAAAAAGAAAAACCATTCAGTGTTTTAAGCTTAAAAAGTGGTTTGGATTAAAGGCAACTGTCTATAGATAGTCATTGGCCTTTTGGTACATGTGAAAATTGATGCCTTAGAATATGAAGTTTATAAATCACAGAACTTATCAATAAAGATGTTTA